ATTTTAAAATTTGCCACCAATAGTAATAAGATATTGAACAAGAATCCTAGAATACAAATTTCTAGGGTCCTCAATAGAGAAAATATCATTCTAATAGACAAATCGGAGAAAAGGTAGATATCCCAAGGAAATAATTCATGCACCAACACTAGTGTTGGGTATATTTTAAAAACTTAATTAAAGGTGTATTTATAAGCATGCCTTATGTCCCAAGCATTATGTTAAGCCCTGCAGATATGGTAGAGAACACAATAGACAATGTCACTGCTGCCACACAATCACTCACATAGATCACTTCCAGTCTAGTTGGATAGACACTAAATAAAACATTGGGCATTGTGATTATTTGCAATGAAAGAATACAGAGAATTTATAATTATTAATATAGAGTTGCGACTATAGAGAATTTAGAGTAGAGGGTTAGGGAAAGCTCTTTTTAGAAACTGACCTTTCAGGACAGGGCTTGAATGATGAATATGAGTTAGCCAAATGAAGAACGAGGAAAGATGGAGGCAAGGGAGAACATTCTAGGTGAGTGAAAAATGAGTGCAAGGTCTTTCCTGAATCAGCAAAGAGCTTGACGTATTCAGAACCTGGCAGAAGGCCAGTGTAGCTGGGACCTAGTAGGTATTGGGAGGAGAGGTCGACTGGACACATAGGGCAGTAAGCTTGGAAAACTTTGTTCTGGAATAGAGCTTTTATCTAATGGCAATGGCAAACTATTGAAGAGTTTTAACTGGGAAGTAGCATAATCATTTTTTGTGTTAAAAATTCACTCTGGCTACCCTATAGAAAATGAATGGGAGGCGAAAAGAGAAAGGAGAAAAGAGAAAGATTAGATGGAGAGATGGCAAAGAGATGATTTGAAGTGACTTGAAGTATGGTGATGGACCTGGAGATAAAAGAAGAGGAAAACTGAAGAAAATCTAATGGGGTGCAATCAACAAGACCTAGTGCTCTACCATTAACCAGAGTGTGGAGAGGGAGAGGGTCACTGGAGATTCCCAAAACTCAGGAATGAGCACCTACACAGATGAAAATTCCATTTCCTGAGAAAGACAGTGGAAAACAATCTATTTGTTGTGTAGAAGATTGAAGGGTCAGTTTTGAACATGTTAATTTTGATCTTAGAATCTCGTTGACCTCTATGAGATATCTACCTGTGATACAACAAAACCATGTTAGGCAGGTGATTAGATATTTGAGCCTGGTCAATCATTAGACTTGCTGCTGCAGAAACACCAGGAACTTTTTATTGTCTGGCTCCACCCCAGGCCTAATATATTAGAATCTCCAAGAGAACATAGCCAATTTAATACCCTAAGGTTAAATGCAGTGAAAAGAATTCAGTCATTACTGGATAGTTGTACTAGTTAGCCTTTAAGGTACTTGACAACTTTGAGTGCCTACAAATTTATGACTAGAAAGATGGCCAGACCAAGTATTAAATCTATTACTACTTTCTAGGAGTAAATATGCTGGACAAGTCATGAAACACCCCTGGGGGAAAAAAGCCATACCTAGATCCCTTTATTTACATTACCACTGTTTGTGTCATATGATGCTCCCACACTGGCCATGAACTAATTGATCCAGGAACCAGTCCCTAGCCAAACTCAACCTCCTAATTGTTCCAGGGGTCCATGAGATGACCTTTCTTAAGAATCCAGCCCAACTGTTGCACCATTTTGGATGGTAACTAATTTACCAAACCAGATTTTCTCCTTAGCCAGAGGAAAGGGGAGTTGAAAAAGTAAACTAGAAAAACAAAAACATATGAATAAGTAGAAACAAAAAAGTTAAGAGAGAATCAGGCAGAGAGAGACGTAAAGAGAAACAGAAGCAGAGTCACAACTATGACAATTAGTAGAACAAAGCTCAAGAGATACCTGTTTCTGATCAGATGACAATGTGGCTGAATACCCCTATTCATTACAGTTCATTTATTCAACAAGTATTTATTGAGCATCTGCTATGTGCCAGGCATAGATTCTAGGTGGTGGGCCTACTCAAATGAACAAAACTTTTGTCATGGACACCTCATTCTAGGTACATCATGATGAGTGTTATGGAAAAAAATAAGGCAGTGTGTAAAGACATAGATAATGATGATAGAAGGGGCAATTACCAGGAAAGGAAGGCTTATCTTAGGAGGTAACGGTAGCTGAGCCACCTGTGAGAACCCTGGGTAAAGAGCATTCAAGGCAGAGCAAATGTAAAGAACAAATGCTCTGAAATGGAAGTCTGTTTGGCATGTTTAAGAACAGCAAATACGTCCACGATGTTGGACACCAATGAACAAGGGAGAGTGTGAAAGGAGATGGGAATGCAGCTCATTCAGGGACTTGTAATCCACGGTTGAAGTTTTAATTTTATTCTGAGTGTTACAGGAAGCCATTGAGGATTTTGATCAAGGAGATGGTATGATCACATTTGTGAGTTAGAGGAATTACTCTGGCTTCCATATGGAAACTAGATTGTAGAGGACCAATAACAGAAGCAGGGAGGGAGACCAGTTAGAAGGTGACATCAGCAGCCCATACAAGAAAGAATAGTGGCTTGCACAAGGTAGTAACAGTGGAAGATATGGGAGGTAGTCAGATAAGGGATTCATTTTGAAATTAGAGCTAACAAGCGTAGGCAACAGGTTGGGTAACGGCTTGGGGTCAGGATTACGCAAAGGTTTTTGTTCTCAACAGCTGAATACATTTTATTGAGATAGAGAAAACCAGAAAAAGAGCCATTGGGTTTGGCTTTGGATATATTAAATTTGAGAAGTCTAATAACATCCAAGTGAAGAAAATGGTAGCTGGTTGGAAAAGGGAGTCCGAAGTTCAGGAGATATTAGGACTCCAGATACAAATTTGGGAGTCATAGCACAGTCCCGACAGTGTGCCTGTTGGTTTTTTCTGCTCTATGTCTTCCCCTGTGTACCTTTATATAAAATCCTCATTACAGGAGGTAACCTGAATATGTCTTTGTTTCCCGAAAACTGCTGGAGACATAAGTACCATAGTAACTGAAAGAGGCCAAACCACTTTGGCCTCTGTACCCAATAACACCTCACAACCTAATAAGAGAGGAGAATAAAGGAATCTTGCTAATTTGTTTTTATTTTGTTTTGTTTGACTAAGCAGTTACTCCCTGGATCTTTCATGAAGCCCTCATTGGGGTCTTTTTGTCAGTGATTTTTTTCAGAACTCATAATCACACCTGTTGCTGCTCTGCTTTTACAGCAAACCTTTCTTTTTACATTCAATAATTGCATGTTCCACTGAAATTTGAAGAATTATGCATTTCAGAGCAATTGTATTATTGTATTTAGTATCTCAACAACATTTCCTTTGCTAATTCATCTTTTTTATGGAAGCTTCTTAATGTGCTCATAATGTACCATATGTTACCATTGCTTAATTTTCTCTTGAAATATTTATTTCTAGTTCTTAGAGACAGGTAGATGAAACAAAACATGTGGATTTAGCTTTCTCTTTTCTTTTATCAGAAGCAGGAGACTTACCTAGGTCTTTACTAGTTATAAACGAGGACCTAGGTGGCCATAATGACACTCTGATAGCCTCTTAAAAGAATTACTGTGCTTTCTCAAGCCTTTAACCCATGACCAAAAATGATTATCAATGAACGACCATCTTGGAGGGCCTGACAGTAGTAAGGTTATAAAATGTGCAATATGACTATCTTTCATAAATGTTAGGATCCCACATTCTTATGATATTTGAGAACTAAATATAATGAAAATCATGAGCCTCTGGGGCCTTGCTTTTAAGATTTCCCTTTAAAAAATAATGCTATTATTCTCCGAGGACATGAGAACAGTATTACTTTATTTAGTTAAACTAACCCTAAATAGAACAGAGGAAATCATTAAATGAGCAGACATATATCTTTCATCGTTGCCCATTCATGCCAAACCTGATATATCTTGAAAGCACAAGGTGACTTACAATAGGGAAAATATCTTCAAAATGATTACATTTATCTTCAGGGAGTGATGCTTGATGGTCTCAATTATTACCCTGGAATAAACTACAATGCTGATGATTGCATTATTTATGGCAGTCTTATGAACAAGCAAATGTGGTGCTTTATAGCTGCACAGGAAGGAAGTTGACTGAAAGTAGCTATTTATGTGTCCGTTTATATCCCACCTCCCTGAAAAGGCCCCAAATCTAGAGAGAATAGAGAGTGGAAAATTTCACTCTCGATTTAGACATCTCTCAAGACTCCAGAGGAAGCTGTTCAGCTGGCCTCTCCTGTAGCTGAAACCAAGCCGGATGACTGTGTGAGGGACCACTGGGCCCAGAGCCCAAGCACTAGACTGGAACATGAGCTACTGGATTGGACATGCTCTGCCTTATGTCAGGAACATTTTGGTGTGAGAAATAAAAGAAGCCTTTCCTGGAATTTATGTTGGTCAACATTCTGATACACTTAGATATTCTTTTAGCAGTTCCAATTTTGGAGGGAAATTCTGGGGAAATGCCAGAATCTGAACTAGTATTCTTAGTTGTTATTTCAACAGCTGTTATATATACAGCTAATAGCCATTTGATTGGATTTCTCAGAACTGCTCCCGACCAAAAGCAAGGAGGCACCACTTTACATTAAATCTGTCCCAAATTCTACTTTGCTTAAGCCAAGGGGAAAAAAATGGCAATCATCTGACAGTATTGGCAAGAGTCATTAGGGATTCTGGAAAATCTCTTCAAGGAAAATGTGTGAGGAAGCGTCATTATTTTGGGAAATCTGAATTTCCAGACAGATTCTGAGACATCTCTAATTATCCCTTCTTCAACCACCTATTTTACTCTTGATGACAGTAAGTTTTAAATAGATAAAGTATCTTACTGAAAGTCACGTTATTAAGTTGTAGACTGAGACTAGATCTAGCAAATTGGCAGACATATGGTCCTTGAGAACACACAGCTTGCCAGCCATGAGCTCAATACTTCAAACAACCCGAAACAGTACCTGAACAGTACCTTTCATGACGGGCGGTGTGTACACGCTCTGCTTCCTTTGCTTAGGGGATGCATTTTGTGACTGTGGACCAAAAGAAAAAAGTAAAAGTTTTATATTTGGATAAAAAGATAATGCCGTCAGCTCTGTGAGGGAAATTAACATTGTGTTATATTTCAAAGAGCTTTCTGATTTTCCCCATCACAAAATAGAACTCTAATCAATGAGTAAGTATATTCATGTCCACTGATAGTACAGTATTAAGAGATATAGAAAGCTATGGGGTATATTTTATCATAAAACTCTTCATCCATTGCAGTCTTGAAATCACTCTTTATTTTTTCACCTAGTAATATTATTTTGTTTTTAAAAGACAGAGAAAAAGAGACACCAATCCTTACCATTTGAAAGAAAAGCATAAGGACCAGGGCAACATATATCAAAAAAACTATGCCCATGAGACAATGATCCTGCTCTTAGGATTGGATAATCTGAATATAACTTTTGACTCCCCCAAAACTTAACTACAGTTGGCCCTTCACATCAGCAGATTCAACCAACTATGTAAGGAAAAAAATATTTTTGATCCATGGTTGAGAATCTGGTTGATTTTGAGAAGCAATCACTTCCAGGATTTCTTATGTATTTATTTTCATACATATATTCAAAAGTCAAGTAGGAAATTAATTCTACAGAGTGTTTAGTAACATAGTAGTAAACTTAAGTAATAAAACTACTTTATATTTATGTAAGAGTTTATTTTCCAAAGCATTTTCAAACAATCTCATTAAGTTTTTAGAATTCTATTATTTTTTTTTTCTACATTTTCTTGAGTGTTGCTATATGCCTACTAATGCAGCCATGAGAATTGACTCCTAAGTCTGCATATATTGTATTCAATATCTGTTCTATTTCTGGGTTCAAGTTCACTTGCTTCCTTGTAGTCTATGTATTCTATATTATCAGCTCCCCTAACCTCCCTGGTTTTAACTTTCTATCTGAACTCTTACATGTATATGTGGAGACTCTGGCCTCACATTCTGCTCTTGTTTCCACACACCAGAAAACCCTTTAGAGGTACCTGTCCCTCATCTTTTTGATCTGGTATACCAACATTAACTCATCATACATAAGCAAGCACTAAATTGGAATTATCAATATTATTCCTTGCCACTAAAAACAATGGTTTATTTTATAACTTTTTTCAGAGGGTGTCATTCCATAGGTAGAGAATCAAGGTAACCTAGAGGGAGAAATTTAATGGCACATTTTACTCTTTGTTCAGTCAGGAAAAGCAAACTAGTTTTGACATCACAGTTATATTGATATATTTTGCATCACATCAAATCAAACTAATTGTATTTTTAATTGATTAAAATAAAAATATAAGAAAACTTACTTCTGCTTGTGTGTTTGTCACTTTCTTGTCTTCTATTTCTGCAAGAGAAGTAGGTGTAATGTATTAGAAAGGTGATACTTTCTTATATATGCATATTAGCACTTTTAATAACACATATCAAAATGATTTCATAATTGCCTATGTTTATATAGCATCTATGGCTTGGTCTAATGGCTGATAACGAAGGGGAGCAGAAGGGGGTGGTTTTCTTCTGAGATAACCTTCTCATAAAGGTTTTTAAAAAGGCAACTTCCAGAGGAAGACCTGGATGGTAAATTTTGGTTAATTTCAGTCCAATTCAGCTCTGAATACAGTAGCTGCTACTCACTCCCTACTTACAAACTCCATGGCAGGCAGCCATGCACATACTTCAGAAGAAGCTTGCACACAATTTGTGGGAGCCAGGGTGAGGGTGAGTAAAAAGTCCTCTAAAATATCAGGGATTTGTGCTCTGATTGTTGCTTCTGATCTCAGAGGTGCAGACAAAAAATCCTTTCTGAAATTCCAAATTGCGATTTTCCAGCAGTCCAGAGAGGGGGCTAGAGAAATGGTTCTTAGGACTGTTTGCCACCAACCTCACAGTGCTAAGGCATGGACAACTTCCTTTCTCATGGACTTTATTACCACTGTTTACTGACTATAGCCTCTGTAAATTTTTCTCAAATTTGCCATTAAGCAGAGCAAACTTCCTTTTCCACTCAGTCCTATCACTCTGATTCTGAGACAGCATTGTTGCACCTCTTCCCATTGTGACAAGTCCTTTCTCCTTAGGCTGAAATGACTTTCAGGTGATTCAAATGGTCAGTGGCCATTTTCCCTCCCTTCATTTTTCTCTTTTTCCCCTTTTATGAGCCAGACATTAAAGTCTATAAAATTCAAAAGCAAATGCATATCAGAAGAAATTAGATCATGACTGTGCATGTTCAGGGAAAGATACAAACTCAGAAAAGACCTAAGAAAACCTTACATTTACACCTCAGACTAATCCTCCAGACAGAAACAGCCTACAACAATAAAACAAACAAACAAACAAACAAACAACAACAACAACAAAAATCCCAGTAAACTCTGGAAAAGTGGGAGAATCTGACTTCTGGGTTGCCAAATTATTAGATTCAAATGTCCAGTTCTTAATAAAAAATCACAAGCATACAAAAAAAACAATAAAGTATTGCTCATTCAAGGGAAAAATAAATAAATAAATAAACAGAAACTGTGTCTGAAAAAGCACTGATGGCAGATCTACTAGAAAAAAAGTTTAAAATAACTGTCATAAAAGTGTCAAAGAACTAAAGGAAGATGTGGAGAAAGTCAAGAAAATGACATATGAACAAAAATGAAAAGATACAAAATCTAGAAAGAGGCCAAAAATATTTTGGAGTACAATAACTGAAATGAAAAGTTCACAAGAGAGATTAAAAGGCAGATTTGAGTGGGAAGAAGAAAAAGTTATCAAAATTGAAGATAGAGTAATAGAAATTAGTGAGTCTGAGCAATGGAAAACGATTGAAGAAAAGTGAACACAGCATAAGGAACATGTGGGCGACCACTGAGTGGACCAACATACACATTATGGGAGTCGCAGAATGAGAGGAAAGAGAAAAGGAAACAGAGAGAATATTTGAAGAAATAATGTCTGAAAACTTCCCAAATTTGATGAAAGGCATGATATAAACTTCAAGAAACTCAGTAAACTCCAAATAAGATGAACTCAAAAAGACTCACACTGAAATGCATTATAGTCAGACTTTCTAACGCCAAAAACAAAGAAAGAACTAGAAAGCAGCAAGAGATAGGTAACCCATCACATACAAGGAATCCTCAACATAATTATCAGCTCATTTCTCACCAGAAGCTTTCCAGACCAGAAGGTAATGGGCCAATAAATGAGCCAATACATTCAAAGTGATAAAAGAAAAAACTGTCCACCAAGAGTCCTCTATTCGACAAAATTGTTCTTCAAAAATGAGGGAGAAATTGACATTCCCAGGTAACCAAAAGTTGAGGGAGTTTGTTACAGGTAGACCTGCCTTGCAAGAAATGTTTTAGGGCAGCGGTTCTCAACCTGTGGGTCGCGACCCCTTTGGGGGTCGAACAACCCTTTCACAGGAATCGCCAGGTACTCGTATGTGGGCATATATGCATGTGGGCCTGGAGACGGATAGAGGAGCCGTGTCTTGGTTCCTAAGACCATAGAAAATATGTGTTTTCCGATGGTCTTAGGTGACCCCTGTGAAAGGTTGAGAACCGCTGCTCTAGGGAGTCCGACATAAATTGAAAGACACTAGACAGTAACTTGAAGCTATATGAAAACTAAAACTCTCAATAACGGTAAATACATGGGAAATGATAAAAGTTAGTATTATTATATCAACAGTTTATAACTCAACTTTTTAATTTTTAAGTGATTTAAGAAAAAATACATTTTAAAATAGTCTAAAAGTGGGGTGGCTGATTAGCTCAGTTGGTTAGAGCACAGTGCTCATGATTGTTTGATGCAAGGTTGCCTGTTTGATTCCCACAGGGGCCACTGATTTGCATCCTCCACAACTAGATTGAAACAACTATTTGACTTGGACACTGTTCCCCAATAAAATTAAAGAAAAAAAAGTCTAAAAGCTAGTATCTTTTTCTTATTATTAAAATTTATTGTGGAGACAATGGCTAGTAAAATTACATAGGTTTCAAGTGTACAATTCTGTAATACATTATCTATATATCACATTATGTGTTCACTCAGAGTCAGTTTTCCTTCAATCACCATATATTTGATCCTGTTTACCCTCATCTACTACTCCCCTCCCCCCTTACCCTCTGGTAACCACTAAACTCTTGTCTGTGTCTATAAGTTTTTATTTCTAAAAGCTAGTATTATTGTAACTTTGGTTGTAATTCCACATTTTCTATTCTACATAATTTAAGAGACTAATGAATTTAAAGATTATTAGTTTATATTTTGTGGCACAATGTATAAGAATTTAATTTTGTGATATCAATAACAAAAAGATGTGGGAACAGAGCTGTAAAGGAGCAAAGTGTTTCTATGGTATTCAAGTTGAACTAGAATAAATTCAAATTAGGATGTTATAACATTAGGGTGTTAAATGTAATCCTCATAATAACTACAAAGGAAATAGTTATTATATATATATATATGAATGTATGTGTGTATATGTATATATATATATATATATATATATATATAAATGAGAAAAATATTTGAACAATTAACTACAAATAAATTAACTAAACACAAAAGAAGACAGTAATGCAGGAAATGAAGTATGAAAAGGGTAAAAGCCATATAGAAAACAAATAGCAAAATGACAGAAATCTTTTCTTATCAGTAATCACTTTAAAATGAATAAATTAAAATCTTTAAAAGACAAAGACTACCAGAATGGATAAAAACACATGATCAAACTGTGTGCTATTTTCAGATCCAAATATACAAATACGATGAAAGTGAAAGGATAAAAAAATATATTCCATGAAAATAGAAATCAAAGGAAAGGGTGGTTATACTAATATCAGACAAAATAGATTTTAAATGAAAAAGAAGTTAGACAAAGAAGGACGTTATATGTTTAAAAAAGTTTCAATACAGAAGGAAGATATAAACATTATAAACTTTACACACCTCCTAACAAACCTTCAAAACATTGAAGCAAAAACTGACAGAATTAAAAAGAGAAGTAGTTCTATAATAATTGTTGGAGACTTTAATATGCCACACAATAATGGTAGAACAACCAGAAAAAAGATAACCAAGAAAAGAAAAGATGTAAAAATCAGAGTAAATCAAATAGATCTAATAGACAGATTCAGAATATCTATGCAATAACAATAGCATATATGTTCTCAAGCGCATATACGATATTTTCCAGGATAAACTATATATTAAGCCACAAATTAATCTCAATAGATTTTAAAAGATAAGTGTCATAAAAATATCTTCTCCAGCCACAATAAGGTGACATTAGAAATCAATAACAGCAGTAAAGCTGGAAAATTCAGAAATTTTTGGAAATCAAAAAACACGCTCTTAAACAACCAATGGATCAAAGAGTAAATCATAAAGACAGTATACCAAAACAAGGGATACAGCAAACGCAGTGTTAAGATGAAAATTTGTAGCTATAATCTTTCACATTAAAAAATTAAAAATATTTAAAATCAGCCACCTGACTTTACAACTTAAGAAAGTAGAAAAAAAACAACAACCTAAATCCATTTGGACCAGGACTTATACCATCAGCTCCCCTTTTTCTCAGGCCCTCAGATTTGAGTTGGAGTTACACCATTGGCTTTCCTGGGCCTCTAGCTTACAGATGACAGACAGATTGTGGGACTTCTCAGCTGCTATAATCATGTGAGCCAATCCCTCATAATGAATCTCTATATACCTCTATATACCCTATTGACTCTGTTTCTCTAAAGAACACTGACTAATGTAATCATCAAAATGAGGAAAGTCTAAGAAACTGTCCTAGACAAAAAGAGCCTAAGAGACATGACAACTAAATGTAATAGGGTATCCAGGATGAGACCCTGAAACAGAAAATTAATGTTAGGTAAAAACTAAGGAAATCTGAGTAAACTATGAATTTCAGTTCATAATAATATATCAATATTGGGTCATTAATTGTAACAATGTAACACTTTAATGACTAATGTAAAATGTTAATAATAGGGGAAGCTATGTGTCAAAAGGAGGATAAATGGGAACTCAATATGCCCAATGTTGAATTTTTCTGTAAATTTAAAACTCTTCTTAAAAAATGTCTACCAATAAAAACTTAAGCAAAAAGAATAAAAAGGAAAAGATAAAAGGAAAAAACATAAAACACAAATATCACCCTATGAATATGTTTTGGTATTACTGTCAGGATTCTGTATCTGATTTGAATAACACCAGATAGTCATTACTAAAAAGTAGGTAATGTAACTGAAAGAAGTTCATAAAAAGTACATAATTTTAAAGACTGTTATACAGGGTTAATTAAAGAGATGGAGGGGGAAAGGTAAGTTTAAGATTATG